GATACAGGACAGAAGGGAAAGCAAAGGCCTAAGTTCACTGTCTGCCCATTGCAGTGATATGCAAAGAGGAAACTGATATATCTGATGGATTTAACTTTTTCCCTATCTTATCCCAATGATCAGTGACTTCCCAACAACCCAAAGCATCATCCAATTCAATGACAAATCAAGAACGCCCATGTAACAGCTTCTTTACCATAAAGCAGTTCCAATACAGCAAAGAGCACTGCTTCCAAAAACATCAGCTGGGCAATGACAAACCATAAGCAACTCGCCCCAGTGCCACAGCAGAAACCCTGATTGTGCAGCAGAGGATGAATCACCAGATCACTGCGTATTGGGACAAAGTGCCACTTTCCCGGGCTCCCTGGCAAGGGCTCTCGGGGAATTTCAGCTGAAACACCGCAAGGAACTTTTCCTTGTGCTGCATAAATATTTAGACTTCATTTTAACTTTCATGACTGAGGCATTGTTTAACAAAGAATTAAAGCCTTAACACTGAAGCAGATTTTACAGCTAGAGCTGCTACACACAATAAACTAGCCTCCAGACAGGTTCCACATTAAAGCTCTGTAACTTTAATTATATACAAACATGCTGCTTCCTATAGTGAAGATGTTTGAATTACATGAACCAGGTTTTCTTTTTCCTTTTTCTTTTTTTTTTTTCTCCTTTTAAACCAGGGCTATTATGTTACATAAAACCTCAGCATGTCCTCTAGCACAAACTTCTCAAATCTGTCCTGTAAACTGTCCTGACATTCGCTGATTTCACAGAAGGGGTACTCCCAACTCTAAATTAGGCTAATTAACCTATAAAAAAATGTTTTAAATGCCAGAAAATGAAAGGGAAAATTAATTAGTTCAGCTGAATAAACATCATTTGCCTATATACCATACCATTTTAAAAGCAATTGGAGTGCCTTGAAGACATTCCGTCTGGAACGAGCTCTACTTCTAACATAATTTACCCTTACGGCACTCGCCCGAAAGACAGCCTTACTAAAGGAGCAGTTCACTGCTATGCACTGCTTCCCTTCCCTTAGCCACTGTAAAGATGGCGTGGAAGCCCTCTGACAGGTATGAAGGAACATATCAAAAGAGGTTTCATAATTAGTAAGGAATATAACCCTACTTTGTATTTGCAAGCATTCCTCAGTTTTAATCAGACTTGAAGCAAAATGACGCTTTTTTGAATACCCAATCTTAATGTTATTAAAGACACAATAAACAAAGAATATGTTCTTTTCTTCCCCCACACGCTGAATTTCAATTATCAAAACTGTAACTCTGCTCAGGGAACAGTAATTCTCTTGGTCAAGGCCAGGACGCTGTAGAGATGAATCCCAAGGGACTTGGTTGCTGAAGTTTGGCAGTGATGCAGTTTCCTACAGATCGTGAGGGCGACAATGAGAACATCCCCAAAACACAACCCCCCTGTGCAAACACTGGCAAGGCACAGATAGCACCTGGCCTAATTGACCCGTTTTGCCATAAATGGATCAACTGCATATAAAAACCCCACCTGAACACAAGCCCTGGCAGTAGCAGGATGCTGCTGGCACAAAATCCCGGGCTGATACCCCGTCTCATCACCCTCTCCCTCTGTGATGCCGGGCAGTACCACGAGCAGCAATTCCCTGGCTCCAGCTGGAGCTCCTGACAATCTCGCCCTTCTCCAGAGGGAAAGGGATGGTGCTGGGGGAGACTTGCACAGCGCCAGCTGCATCGCTCCCATCGACGGCGGCAGCAGCACAAGCCCTTGGCTGTGATGAAGCGCGAGCGCAGCGCAGAGCTGGCTCAAATCCTGTGGGCAGGATTCAGAGATCCGCCTCCAATTTCTGTAGCAAAATAGGAGCCCTCCTGTTATATACCAGGCGTTTTTAAGAAGCCTTTCTCCCAGTCCCCACTACAACTCAAAGGGCTTTACAAAGCACTTTCTAAATAAAAGATTTACCGGAACATAAATGTAACTTCCTCGCTGTTGATTTTGCTCTGCTACATTCAGTAAAGCGTGGTAAATGCTACCAGAGCATACTGAGATACCTGCTAGTCAGTATTGCATAGCTTAGGCAATATAGCTTGCAAAATATAATTAAAAAACAACCCTTTTCACATCCAAATTTCCCTCCAAGACTGTAATCAATGAATCCCTGGGACTGAAATCAAGTGTCCTTTCTAGCAAAATAAGGGGCACCATTCAGTCTCAATTCTTCCTCTCCATCAAAAGCAATAAGAACTTCTGCTGTTTAAGGGAATTAGTTGTCTCAGCTATTTACTAGCCCAAGTACAGAAAACAAAATCAAACCCAGACTGTGCATCAAACTATATCTGTGTGCGTATATATACATATATACATATATCTTTTTTCAAGAGATGCCTTGTAGTGACACATTTCTTAGGGCCATATTGAAGCAATGTCTAGTTTTCTTACAAGGCTTCTGCTTTCAAGCACCAGCAAGGAGGTGTAACAGCCAATGTGGATGCAGCCAGAGCTTATTTCAGTTTTCCAATCAAAAGTGCAAATAAAGTTATTCACACTATTACTGCATGCAAAACTTTAATGCGTTTAAGTGAAACCTGTAAGAGATGAACATACTCCTCAAAAGTCAAAATTAACATGCTCAGTACTTCCAACAGACAAAATTCAGCATTTATTTACACAGAGCTAAATAAGTTGCTGTTTATTCACATTCACAAAAGTTACAAGCTTTGCTAACCGTCTAGGTCAGTGGGGAATATATTTACACAGCAACACAGGCTGTCACCTCTAGAGCTAAAGTAAACTTACCTTCAGAGAATCAACTAAGTCATCAACTAAGAACAGGCGTCTCAGCTCTTTGACTGTGCCATTAATGTGACCAAGCACAACATTGCTGTATTTCTGAATAAGCTCTTCAGACACAGCTATATCAGACTCCAGGTAAGCCCTGAAAGGAGAAAAGGAAAAAAAAAAAAAAAAAAGGTATGAAACTTCATTACAAAGTTGTGCCAAAACAATAGTATCACTGCACAGTAAGCTGTTGTAAAGACAGACCTCACAGTATGAGGAGTGCTAGAAAGACAGAATAGCCTAAGCTATTCTTTGCTAGCAAAAGCAAGCCTCCAAAAGAGAAAAAAAAATTAAAAAGAAGTATCATCATATTTGGTTCTCACGGCTCTATTGTGTGTATTAACCAATCTCACACAGAGCCTTATCTAAATTGGGGGGGGGAAATGCACTGGCTAACACATGCTAAAGAACACAGACTACAAGGCCTGTGGGCAGCCAAAGCAGTGTCCAGCACCACCGGGGCACACACTGTTCAGCCTACATAAGTCTCTTGCTACTTCTCAGCACGTGCTGGCATCTACTACAGTAATAAGGTCAGTGTATTAAAAATAAATAAATAACAGAGAAAAGAAACCATCCTATCATTTTTGCTACTGTACTAAAAAATCCCTTAAGACAGTCTATGATTCTACTAGACTATTGTATATTTCTCATACAAATATAAAACATTCTACAGGTTTTTGTTTTTTATTGGGCGGGGGGAGATAATAGAAAAAAAATGCAGAGTGGAAGCTTCTGCTATATCCTTTAAGGGAAAGCTAAATACAGCATTGCAACAAGCCCCAAAACAAATTCAAATACTTTAAATGGCAAGTACCCAGGGCAGCCACTTCAAGTCTGATATCCACACTTAGCTCGAACCCACACCCCCTTCTTAGCTCACCAGCCAGATATTCAGTATCTGAACCAAAAAGTAAACTGATCACATGGATGTGCTCCTCACTGTCAAACTGATTTCACCTATAAACATCCTTCTTGCAACTGAAGCTGTACACATGGAAAGGTAAACAACTCTGGTATATTGGACAAGGATATCTGGAAGAAGGACTTACTGGTCAACTCAGGAAATACTGCTTGGCTGCTAAAAATGACAAGCAGAGCAAACAGGACTTCAAGGAGGAATCCTTCACCCTGATATGAAACAAATTAGTGCCACACAAGGCCTTGATGGTGAAGAATAAGAACTGAGTTTACAAGAGATAGATATCTAGTGTTGCTACACAGAATGTTGCTGCCAGTTGTTCGGGTATGTTTTTATATCAGAACAAAAACTTGGAGGTAAATACTACGCTTTTTCCAGAGTTCTGTCCTGCACCTATTTCGGGTTGAGGTTGGCTTTTACTGGTTGGGTAAAAGCGTCACTACCAAAAGCAGAGAGGAATGGAGGCAAACTTGCGAAACCCTTTGACTCACTGACAGTGAAAAAAGGGGAATGAGAACAATCAGCAACATCATCAAAATAGTAAAGAACCTGCAAATAGGGAACAAATGGGAAAAAGTTTCTGCAAGGTGCAAGGGAAATTGATACTGGACCACACATTAAAAAAAACTGAACGAGGGTGGGAGGAAGTAGTCATAGCTGGATCACAAGTTTTTAAGTACAGACAATGTTTACATTACTGTATAATATTATAGCATATATATCAAATGCTTCTAAGAAAATAAAGTGTTGTTCTTAAAGACAATCTTTTTTTAATTAGGAGGAAAAAAAAAAAAAAAAACACACACTCACTTAAACGGATGGCCTTCATCAGACTTTTGGATTGCCTGGATGACCCCCTTGTATATCCTAAAGCTGATGGTCACAGAGAGCAGGGCCAAGGCAATGTAAGCTGTCACACTCACGATGCTGAACACTGTTAATGAAAGGAGCAGGAACAAGCTGGCACCAAACACCACTCCTGTCTTCTTAATGTCTCGCCAGTAAAGGAGGTCAACAACTGAAAGTTGAAAAGGTAAGATATTAGAACAAGATACTTCTTTCCCGCATAGCACAACAGTAAATGTGATTCACTTTATGGAGAAGTGTAAGAATAAAACTCAAGATTGCATGGTCACAACCAGAGCTGGAATTAGCAATGAAAAATAACTCATTTTCACAATGATTTTTCATTGCACTTCAGATTTTTTAATTTATTACTAGGATTATCTCAAATGCAATTGCTAAAATTTAAGGACAATTCTGCCCTGAAGGAATATCAAAATTAATCTCTCGAACTACTCTCTCCCACAGCAGAACCACAGCAGTTTGTGCTTCACCTCATTTTATTCTTGTGGATTTTGCAGAGGCTGTTCACTGAAGAGACTGGATCTGTTTCCCTTTTAGGGCATATAATACAAACAGTGAAGGCCAAGACTTAACAAAGAGCTGGTTTTGCTTTGGACTGAAGGTATTTCCATGGGCATGTGAATTGATTATGGGTGAGCAGGGCACCAAGAGGGAATCTTCTCACCAAATAGTCGATTAAGACTAAATCTGCAGCACTGTGGAGCAAAAATATTTAATTTGTAAACAAAGCTTACTTCTTTTTAAGTGATAGTCATCAAGACACAACCAAGGACATAGTATGATGTTATTTTTGGTATCGTTCTTTAGAGTAATCCATACTCTTGCACAAGTCATTGGCAACAGCTTAGTATGTCCACTGCAGTTTCACCTTTTGAGGTGCTGTTGCATCAGGTTGATTGCATCTTTAGATTCACAATATTTGGCAAACATTCTGCACTGCTGAGTATGTAACTGTACTGGGGCATCTATAGTCTGGTTCAGTTTTATATTTTCTTGTGAAATACTCAACAAAACTTATTCTTTAGATTTTTCTGCTTCCAAAGCTGATTTGATTTCGCAAAAATAAGTTCCTTTTCCACATCAAACCTGCTTAATATTAGTAATGATGTAAGAACTGTTACATACAGACTCAAATCACACAAATTATTAGAATCATAAAAAGGTTAGAAAAGCTTAGTAAGCCTATCTCTTCTTCCCAGCCATCACAGAAATTAACTGCAGGTCAGATTCAGAGCAGATTCTTTTCCTGAATGACTATACAAGCAGCCACACTACCTGACTATTAGTTCTTATAGGATGAATATGTGAATACACGGAGTAAATAATTATTAGCCACGGCAGAGCAAATCTGCAGAACTCTTTTGTGGAAGTTTAACATGAAAATGCTACTGGTGCTATGGTAATTTCACAGTGTTTCAGAAGCTGAGGTCCTTTGCTAGTTATTTCAGCGGGGAAACTGAACAGCAAAACCTGGAGAAACGAGAACTCTGATCTTAAAACAGTCAACTGTAAACGTGCAAGATATCTTATTCAACTATTTAATTCAGATATTAAGAAGAAATTTTCAAAAATGCTACAGAAGCAAGCCAAAACTATTGCTCAGTCTCACTCTTCCACTACCACTAAATGCTGTTCCCTTTCTTTCCACATTCAGGATGACTAGAAATAAAATAAAATAAAATAAAATAAAATAAAATAAAATAAAATAAAATAAAATAAAATAAAATAAAATAAATCCCCGAAGAGCAGCCAACTAGAGGAGGTAACAGTTCTGCTTTGAGATGGTCAGGTTCAAGTCCTGTAAAATTGCAGCCCTGCCACTCTCGAGTGTTTCTAAACTCTGCTGACTAGCTACTGCGCTGGGTCTCCTCACGTCGCATTGAAGCCATTTCTCCATTTTCCAGCTCTAAGCCAAAGCAAGTACCATTCTTAAGAGTTAAAAAGAAAAAAAAAGAAAAAAAGAAGAAAAAAAACTCGTATATGAGCTCTAAACCCATAATTTAAGGATTTTTTCTCAGGTTTCTCTGGCTTTGCTTCTAGCTAAAAAGAGTCTATTAGTATCTTGGTAACAAATTATGCTGACAAAATTCAATGTATAAAAAGGTGGCTCTACAGAAATCCATGGGTTCAATCTATAAACGACTGAAGGCTCCTACTGACATTTGGCTTGAATATCCGTAGGCATGATCTGCAAAAACAATCTTACCAAAACAAATTGGTTTATCTTTTGCTTTTAGATCTTGTAAGAATTCTTAAGAAAAAAAAGCTAATTTCCTGTCTTTTTGCTTCACTTAAATCATTTATTTTAAACATTGCAGTTTGAGCAACCAATATTTGGGTGATGCCTCCATATCATGCAACACACTAAGAACTGCTTTATTCCTCTCTTTGTGCAGATGGCTTTGGTTCTTTTAATTAAATTCTCCCTCCTCTAACAGTTCTAAATTATCTGCACTGACATTGGGTTTCACTTTATAGAAAATCCACTTATTGTAAGCAGTAACACACTATACATGCACCTAGGTGTAAAAAATGCAAAGATGTAAAAAAAAAAAAAAAAAAAAAGCTTCCAGTTTCCAAAAATATCAGAAACAAAGGCAAATTTCTGAAATAAAAGTATGCTGCCAGTGCCAAAAGGTAACTGTCTTCAAATCATAAGCATTTTTCCTCACTGTGTCTCTGCTCCCTTTGGACAACCATCAAATAAGCCTCAGCATAACTATATATCTTGTTTCTGATATAGCTGTATATCTTGTTTCATTGTAAATTCTTAAGAGAGAAATTCAGTGTAGTAAAAGTCACCTGAAAATCTGATTTGTAATTCTTAGGCCAGGAGAATTGATGAGGAAATTGATTTACGTTGTCCAAGCGAGCAACAACAGCTGCTTACATTTCTGTTTTAAGTAACGCAAGAAAAACCAAAAAACCAAAACAAAACCCAAAAAAAGACACACCCACTACTAGAAGCAGCTTTCTGGCTTTAACTCGAATGCAACATATTCCCAGCAAATCAAAAACCAAAAAGAACAGAAATCAACAGTCAGTTGCAAAAGCAGGCTCCTTCCTTGCAGGAAATGTCTTAGCTTAGTTTTATACAACACAAACTACAATCTCATGCATTTAATGTAAGTATTGTCGGCCTGAAGCAAGAACAGCTGCCTACATTTGGTAAGCACGAACTGTCACTTGGCATATCTAAAAATAGCACTGCTCGCATCCGTGCCTTACATGCAGAACTCATCCAATTACATTTTGCTTTAAAGCAAGTGCCATGACAGGCGGTTTAATCACTGTATTTTCTGCAGTCCCTTCTTTCTCTCCCAATCGCTTACGTTAAAGCTGAGCGATTTCACATTGTTTTGCACGACAAAAACAAGCGCTTAAATATATTTAACTTGAAAATAGCCTTTTGCAAATTTCTGAATCAAACCACCCTCTTTTTTCTTTTTTAAAGGGAAATTAAAAGCCTGGAGATCTGCACGAGCTCCCAATCCGTAAGCGCTAACCAAGATTAGAAAGCCAAGAGGAGAGGAGCGCAAGCGAGACTGACCGATTTTGGCATCCATCTTGCGCGCGCCTGCATGCGCCGGGCGCTCGCGCAGCTGACGAGCGGGAGCCCTTTCACTTCCTGCGAGGGCGCGCGGAGGTCGCGCGACGCAACTGCCTGGCAGCGGCTGCGGCCTCCCGGCCGGCCCAGCCAATGGCCGCGGCGCCGGGAGGGGACGGGGCCGCCGGGGAGGCGCTGTGCACTGCTGCAGCCGGAGCGCTGGGAAGCGCGAGGAAAGGCCTGTTCCGGGTTAACCGGAGTTTGCACGGCGCTGTACTGCGCGCTGCAAAAGAGTCGCTTTCGACGCGCCTGAGGTGCAGGATAGTGGCTGTCGCCACGGCCGCTAAGGCATTGGTACCGCACAGAGGTGACGTTGCTGTTAATTTCTCTTTACAGGGGCATTCTGCAGTTAAGCGTAATGACTTAAGCTCCCTATTTACATGCGACAGTGATCTTGGGCGCTGCAGCGGAGCAGCTGCACAGAAAACTGAGCAGGCCACTGAGCAGAGCACTGAGCTGAGCACTGAGCAGAGCTCACAGGGCTGGACCAGGCCAGGGAAGACCCCAGCACTGGGGCAGCCCCATGGAGAACCCCCCTGGGCAGGGGAGGGAAGGAACCAGCCCAGAAGCTCCTTCCTGTTTGGGTTTCCAAGAGCTCACATCCAAACCTGCAGGTACGGCTGAAAAACAAGCGGAAACTGATTTTGAGGACAACCAGAAAAGAAACAGGCCTGAGAGGAAAAGCTGTGGCTTGTGTTTCATTCAGAGTTTCATCCCAGGAAGGTGACCAGGCAGAACCAACAGGCTGGCGCTGCAGCCCCAGGAACCCTCCCTAGGAATGGCCTCGCAGACACCACGCAGTCCCAGAGAGCTGCGGTATGTCCAGGTAAACAAATTGCATCCTCGATCTTACAGTCCTGCCAAGATGTGCCCATACACACCAAGGAGCTCACTTCAATGAGATTCCAGGCATCACATGGAGAAGGCTTTAAACAAGCCTCACCAGGCAAGCAAAGTCTTCAAAGCACAAGCAGCATTAGCAGAATTGTTTTAATGTTTTTAGGATGTCCTACATCATAGCAACAGTGTGACTTTTCTTAAAGCATGGCTTGTAGCAGTAAACATGAGGAGAAGCAGGCACGGACTAGGCCACAATATTCCTGAGTCACTCCACCCTATGAGGCCTGTTGGAAGCTGCATTGATCCTTGACTGCAATTCAGCAGCAATAAAGCAATCCCAGGCTGATAAAACAGCGCGGCTTTATCGCCATGGGGCATGGTGCAAAGTATACAGAGCTGCCTGCCTGCAGCCACGAGAGGCTTCCCAGGCACGGGGAAGGGTGCTGCAAAGCAGCAGGACGCCAAGGGCACTGGCAGGCTTCTCTAATGGCACCCAGAAGGCCAGAAAACAAGCCTGAAGCCACGCACTTCATCTTGGCACATCTGCCTCAAATTTAAAAAAAAAAAAAAAAAAGTGAAAGCAAATACAATATTCTGTGAGCCAATATGGTGTCTCATTTATCCATACGCATGTACACACGTGCGCACACAAACACCTGACCCAAGGAAACCATTTTAAACCTGATTACTTACAATAAGGTTTTTTAAAAAACAGTGACTACAAAAGCTTGTGCAACCTTTTTTTCCCCACCATTTTACTAACCTGAAACAGCGTTCAGAGCTTTCAGTGCATTATTCAACAAAATGTGTTGTAGAGCCTTGGAGTACACATGTGGCATTCATCCCACCACAACCATTACACCAGCTGTACAAGCATTAGTCTAATCTAATTATTCATAGCCATAATTGGGGAGCACTGCTTCTATACTTTAGGAGATTCTATAAATGTAGGTCATGCCATCTCCAGGGTAAATGTATTTAATTCTGCTTACTTAGCTGACTGATACCATTTCTATATTATTGCTTTCTCATCTAACATGGCTGCAGCAGAGAAAACATGTAGACCAAAATTTAGTGCAGGATGACTTTAATCAGATTTTTCCACTTGAAGCAATACTTTCTAACTAAAAAAAAAAAAAATTGGCTCCTCTCTAGTTTTATATTTAATTCTAAAACTTTTATGTTCATTTTTGAGCAAGGAAAGACACAGAATTATGCTGTAATATTTGTTTCTATATTTACTTTGGGGCAAGATAAGTAGCGTAATCAGTCCCTGAACTTTACCCATCATTTTTCAGGCCCCCAGAGCCTGACACAGCAGAGGAAGAAAATGTGGCACAGGTCTTCTTTGTCTCTTTATAAACAGCAGCTATCAGAAGCTATACTAGCAGGGGCTTCACAACCATGACTGGCAAAGCATAGTTGCATAAGGAGGGGAACCATCCAGTTCTGCTTCCTCCGAATGCTTTTTGCTTGCTCTGCTTCATTTTTGTTTTTCCCTAGGCCCTAGCTCCAAAATGTTACATTACAATTGAACTTCAAGACAGCTGGGGACTTCCTTGGAGGAAGAAAGGAGAAACGGGTACTAAAATAGCTTCATCGTCTTGAGAGAAGCCACTATAGGAGAACAGGGAGTGGGGGAAGGTGAGTTCAAGCCACTGTTAGTTATATCAGCACAAAATCCACACACAGGACAGGTTTGGGTAAGGCTTGCTCATTTGATGCCACTTCCATTACGTGCTGGCCCCGTGGACACTGCGCAGAGACCCCAAGCTCGCAGAACCCCACTTAGCGGGCTCCGCGCTGGTGCCTGGCGCCCGAGAAAGGCGCCGCAGCGGCGGGTGCTGAGGCAGTCGCAGCACCGCAGCGCTCCCACGCCTGCCCTCCTGCGTGGCACAGGCATGCCCACCATGGGCAATTCCTTACTCCTAGTCCAAGAGAGACTCCATTTCCCTCAGAGCCGCTAAGTCCAGGCTAGAAAATGTCTGCTTTGAGTCGCAGGGAGGGACAGACCATTGCTAATCCTGCTCATGGGGTTTCAAAAGGAAAACTGAAAATGGGCCTCAATACCCCAGGGGAGCTTGCCTTTTGATTTTCACAGAAATCCTCCCTCTCCACCCTCCTTTTTTTTTTTTTTTTTTTTTTTTTTTTTTTTTTTAAAGCTCATGAATCAGGCCTGACATGGAACGCTGAACATGGAAATCAGTCACACATTGAGAATATTCTCGACAAGAGAATTCCCTAATATTTCTTAATATAGGAAATACAAGCTTTCCTCCGTAAGGAAAGCTTAGAACTTCTGAAAAATCCATCTTCTAAAGATTTTCTTCATTCTAGCATTTTTTTTCC